CAAAAATCTGCGGGGAGCTATGCAAAAAACGCATCTTCGCACGGGCAGCCCGTGCGTTGGCCAGTTGTTACATTCGTGAGACCTAGGTGTACGTGGAAGCTAAATCTTAAATTTCCGGTGTTGCACATCAACAACCTTTTGAAATTTCGGCTTTTCATCCTGTCTTGTTCCAGAGTTGGGAAATTCCCCCACCAAAGCACACTGGCTTCCATGTCATTAATTTTGACGCCGAAAATTCCTTGTATGTGAGGCCTAAGTGTACATCGAGGCTGAATTTAAATTTGCAAAGTCATATGTGGCCGGGAAACATTCCCCTAAAATTTTAGCATCCTAGCCTTTGTGATTCCCGAGCTGAAAAGTGAAAACAAAATGCGCTCGGAAATACAACAAAAACAGGCGTCTGTGTTTTGTGCAGGTGTTACACACAACACAAAGTGCAAATAAAAAGGCATATTAACAGAATGTCAATATCTGCGTCTGTTTCTTTGCACATAATCTGATTCCTGGGTTAAAAAACCTGAGGCCGAAATTTCAGGGATATTGCCGAAGGCCGTATGGCAATTTAAAAACCTGGGAGCAATCCGCATCGCTCATTTTGGACTAGAACCCGGGACATAAATTTGGCTCAATTTTTTAAATTGAGAATTGAGGTAAGGAAGGCCGAAAATTAGGATCTTCTAAAGATCTATCGGTCTGCAGTAATACCTTGAAATTGCATCCAAAATATTATGGCATTGCTACCTAAAAAAACAAATTTAGCAAATTCAGCGTTGTATGTATTAAGCTAAAAATTAAGGTTTTTGTTCCTTGGTTGACTCTCTGAATTAGTTGAATGGCCTGAAGTTGGTTTGTAGGCTCAGTGGTTCCCAGAACGATGGTTATATTCCCAGACATTGCTGCTGTATCAAACCTAGAATGGAGTAAGTTCTGGGAAAAACAATTTTACGGCTTTCTTAGATGGACAGTTATTGGCAGTCTCAGTGAGGAGAATTGCGGAATACACTAAGAGTGAAAGTTGATTTGGTCATTCAAAACTTCTGGTTGGATTCCTGCAATAATTTTGTCGCGTAGCTTTTCCAGTTATATCAGTTTAAATACGAGTCTTTCGGATGCCTGTGCTTTTATTACAGCTTTATCGTCTCTTGTTTGACTAACATTGTCCCCACCGTTTGAGTCCCCCAATTTTTTGCAGAGTTGAAGCATTCTACATGCATCCAAATGACATTTTAATGTAAGTTCATATAAATTTACATTAAACAGAAACGCATCGTGGCGAGATCATGTGTTTGCCCGAGTATTTCAGATTCGAAGCTTTGGGGACCAGAAGGCAAGATTTTTAAAAATATAACCCCTGTTCGTACAAAAAACCGCAAATTGGTACTAACTTTCGAATCTGCATCATGCTTTGGTCATCGACCTTGCATTCAACACCCAGCTGATATTACATCCTAAGGACGAACAGAAACGGTTTGCAAAATTTCAAAGATTCGTCAAGCACATTAAAAAGATGATAGTACGAATGCGCCGTAGAAGCCTGAATTAGGTTGATTTTGTATCGCAAAATACGGAGGCCATTAGACCTGGACTGTCGAAGTTCAGTTTTCGGTGCAGTTAAGTTGAAATCGCCTGGAACTGTCTTTTAGGTCTCAGTCGGTGTTTTATAATTCTAGTTTCTAACTGGCTTAGTGTCGAGACCCAACGATGAATTGTAAACTAGGGCCTTCGTCATTTATGGCTTTAAGATTGGTCAGACCTTAATGGAGTAAACTATCATTTGCACTGATAGGTGCCTCTACAATATCTAACTGCTAAAACGTGCAATCGGAGGTTTCCATTGAGTCGTTGCTTGTTGATCTAACAAAGCGGAAGGCATGGACGCAGTATTTGAGATCATACAATATGATAGCCCCTTGCAAGCTTCTCTGGACGTGATTTTCGTTCTGTGCCGCTTCCAGCACGGGAAGTTCTGCGCCGTAGTGAGCGTGAACGTTTCTGAAAATTTTTAGTATTTTTTGAATTATGCAACAGGCGTTGCCATTCAATGATAAAACGGACAATTTTTGTTTGGATTTAAGGCATGGAACAGGTAGAGCATCCATACTTGGTGAGCTTTTCTCTGGTGCTCTTTGTGGATGTTTGTGGCACAAAATAAATCGTTGATGTCCCTAGCATGTACTGTATCTAAATGTTACCGAAATTTTCCCAACTGCTTGATACTTCGGCGAATTGAAATTCCAAAAATGGCATATCATTACAGCGCTCAGAATGAAACACACACCTTAAAAGAATCGTAGCTCTAATAAGCATGCAACTGAGACGTTTCAATTATGGCTGGTTCTTTTAAGAGAAATTTCAAAGAACCGGGTAGCTCCGGTTAAAAGTCAAAACCCCCTCTTAATCGCGAGAGGCACTCGGAACTAACCCTAGCAGCGGGGACTATCAAGGGCGATCACTCGTTGGTAAGGTTCTCCTGTTTGTTCTGGAAAAACACACAATTTTACTATGTTTACGTTACGCTCCGAAAAGTGAAATATCAGTGTTTATAAGTTTATGCCTACCAACAGCAACTGAGCATAAAAGCATCACTCCGCTGAGCCCGTTAACAATCCCAGTGCGGCTTTTCATCTTGCTGAGATGATCGAGCCAAATTCCGGTTGTTATCACCGATAGCAAATTCCCAACAGCTGATATGATGCACAGCACAAGCCACATGATAAGCATCATTTTCCATCGGTACCTTCAATTCAGTGCTGTGACAGAAAAGTATTTTACGAAGTATGCTTAGTAGTCTGAAAT